CAGCTACTTGGGAGGCTGAGGCAGGAGACTCGCTTGAGCCCAGGAGTTGGAGGTTGCTGTGAGTGTGATGCCATGGCACTCTGCCCAGGGGGATAGCTTGAGGCTCCGTCTCAAAAAAAAAAAAAAAAATAAAATAAAATAATAAGATATCGTCCCCCTTTTGTTATGAAGACAATATTGTAACCTTGTAGAATGTTGAGAAAGTGAAGGGCACTCATGACCCCAGGACTTCATCGCAAACACCTATGTACATTATATCTATTTTCCCCCTTATAGGCATTGAGGAAATGTAAATAAAAATAAATATATATGACTTCATCATAATACACATAATGTATGTGTCTGATTTTTACATCTTATTTTATCCACTTTAGATTTTTCACATAGCTATAGGGTCTTCAAAATTATCAATTTGAATGATGTATCCTGTTAAGATGTGCTATAATATGATTATCTATTCTGATTACTTTCAGTTAATATTTCCGTCTTTAATAATTTGGAGCATATAGTTTTTGTTTGTTGGTTTTATTTTGTTTTTTTGGACACAGAGTCTTGCTCTGTTGCCCTGGGTGGAGTGCCATTGCCTCATCATAGCTCACAGCAACCTTAAATTCCTGGGTTCAAGCAATCCTCCTCCTTCAGCCTCCTGAATAGCTGGGACTACAGATGTCCACCATAATGCCTGGTTAGTTTTTCTACTTTTAGTAGAAATGGCATGTCACTCTTGTTCACTAACTGCAAGCAATCCTCCTGCCTCAGCCTCCCAGAGTACCAGCATTACAGGCATAACCAAGCCTGGCCCTGGAACATACAGTTTTATCCCACTTAGGGGTTATTTATATAGTATGAATTTTTTATTTTTTTTCTTTTTTGTAGAGACAGAGTTTCACTTGTATCACCTATGGTAGAGTGCTGTGGTGTCACACAGCTCACAACAACCTCTAGCTCTTGGGCTTAGGAGATTCTCTTGCCTCAGCCTCCCGAGTAGCTGGGACTACAGGTGCCTGCCACAACGCCTGGCTATTTTTTAGTTGCAGTTTGGCCAGGGCCGGGTTTGAACCCGCTGCCCTTGGTATATGGGGCTGGGGCCCTACCCACTGAGCCATGGGCGCCACCCATAGTATCAATTTCTTAAAATTGTAATACTGGGCTTGGCGCCTATAGCTCAACTGGCTAAGGCGCCAGCCACGTACACCTAAGGTGGCGGGTTCGAATCCCCAGCCCGGACCTGCCAAACAACAATGACGGCTGCAACCAAAAAATAGCCAGGTGTTGTGGCGGGTGCCTGTGGTCCCAGCTACTTTGGAGGCGGAGGCAAGAGACTCGCTTGAGCCCAGGAGTTGGAGGTTGCTGTGAGCTGTAATGCCACGGCACTCTACCCAGGGGGACAGCTTGAGGCTCTGTCTCAAAAAAAAAAAAAAAAAATTGTAATACTGAACCAAAGTTTATGACTGTCTTTATGGTTTTTAGTATATGTTATTAAACTGATTTTTAGAATAAAATTTAAAAATTATGACTATAAAAAACATAAAAATACAGAAAAGTATAAAGAGGAAACCAATTCCTGTCACTTCAAGACACCTACTGAAACATCAGTGGAGAGCAAGACCACAGTTTCTTTTTTTTTTCTGGAGACGGAGCCTCAAGTTGTCCCCCTGGGTAGAGTGTCGTGGCATCACAGCTCACAGCAACCTCCAACTCCTGGGCTCAAGTGAGTCTCCTGCCTCAGCCTCCCAAGTAGCTGGGACTATAGGTGCCCACCACAATGCCCAGCCATTTTTTGGTTGCAGTCATTGTTGTTTGGCGGGTTCGGGCTGGATTTGAACCTGCCACCTTAGGTGCATGTGGCTGGCGCCTTAGCCACTTAAGCCACAGGTGCCGAGCCCAGCAAGACAGTTTCAATGTAGACTTTCAATCACATTGAAAGGCATTATGCTGTTTTGGAATTTCCTAGGTGCAAAAAGGATAACAATAACATATGGTTTCATACTCTTCAGCATTTAATGGTTATATATAGATGACCTATGTGGTTAAAAGAACAAGTTTGGGAGGGTCTTAACTGAGGCCACTATGAGGTGTGGCCAGATTGCTATAGGAGAGGCAGTGGAAAGAGCCTGGCCTCAAGTCAAAGGACTCAGAGAGAAGTCAGATGTCATCAGCAAGCTGTATGACCTGGGTGAGTCATCTGATTGCTCCCCAATTTCAGCTTCCTGGGGCAGCTGCCCTGATGGCACAACTGGCAAGAGGTGGGACAGAGCAGCCACACAGGAACTGTGTGGCTAGCCCCTTGGAGTTGTGTGGCATAGCAGCTCTGAGCTGGACCTGAATTTATTGTCCCCAAGGGGATCCACCTTCTAAGTTCTACATATAAACAGACACATGACCTCTGTGTGGGGAAGAAATCCTTACCACCCTGACAAGAGCACAGCCATTTGGCAGGACGCTGAGTGATAGAAAGCGGGTCAGAGATCAAATGGCATGGTTACTATAACCTCCTCCCACACTCTTGGAATGCTTTAAGGCCAATGGGAAACATCAGCATCTCCTACCCTGGTCCTGGCTAACACTAGAGATAAGGCTCTGCTATAAGATTAACACTTGGATGGAACAGAGTAATTTCTTTTTTTTTTTTTTTTTTGAGTCTCACTTAGTTGCTCTGGGTAGAGTGCTGTGGCATCATAGCTCACAACAACCTCAAACTCTTGGTCTCAAGCAATCCTCTTGCCTCAGCCTCCCAAGTAGCTGGGACTACAGGTACCTGCCACAATGTCTGGGTAGTTTTTTATTTTTAGTACAGCCAGGGTCTCACTTTACTCAGACTGGTCTCTAACTCCTGAGCTCAGGTAATCCACTTGCCTCAGCCTCCCAGAGTACTAGGATTACAGGCATGAGTCACTGCGCCTGGCCTGGAAAGGAGTATTCTAAGATCTGTTCCTGACACAGTATCATTCACTCTTAGGAAAAAAGATGACTTCCCTCTGGCATTCCAACTGCTGACGAAGAAAAGCTTCTTAAAACTGTGAGAATGAGCTGACTCCTGGTCAGACTCCACTGTGTTTTCTCCCTTCTAATAAAGCCTTTCCAATCCCTGAACTGGCCTCCTCTCCTTTTTATGGACCCTTCCCACACCCCACTCTATTCTGATACTTCTTACTCTGCAAGACCCCCTTGGAGGGTGTCATGAGAAATTCTAGAGTTATCAAATTATGTTAAGATCCTCTTTAAAAGGGAAGACTGATTTCCTTCATGATCACCACCCCGCCCTGCACATTCCCTCCCCAGGAATAAAATCTGTCTCATGCTCAGCAGAAACCATTCAGAAACAGACTCAGCAATGCATCCCTTACCCGTTTTATAATGTGAGATCTGGCGATCTTGAATTCTGAGAGTTGGCAGTAATGCTGTGATTTTGGGACTGTAGGAAAATGAAGAGAAAGAAATGAGAAACCACAGGGGCTGCCCCTGGCTGTGTAGTAATTGTAAGTGTGATTTTTCATCCAACCTGAGCTGCCAGATGACATTCATACTGGTAGTCTCACCGACCCCAACTGTGTCAGCTTCTATCTGATAGAAGAAGACTGTGATTCCTTTCCTGATCTGAGTAGACCACTTGATCCAGAGCACTGGCAAGTAGGAGCGGACAAACTGTGGCTTTAGGTAAGTTACTCTCCTCCCCACAAGCCTTTTTCCTCATCTGCAAAGTAAATTCGAAGGGACCTAACCCCCTGTAGAGGTGTTATAAAAATGTAACAAGGGAATTTGATGAAAAGATCTGATGCGATCTGTCATTTAGTAAGTGGACTCTTAATGGTACTATCCCTCCCTCCTTCAGATTTAAGCCTCCTTTAGAAGAAGATAAAAATATCCTTCTCTGAAACTCTGGATTCCTACTCAATTGCATTTTCGATATTTAAAAAAAAAGTCAAACCCCATGAAAACACCATCAAGGCCAAAAAAAGGATGCTTGCCTCTGTCTCCTGGGCTGCCATAATTTTTCTTTCTTAACGCCTTCTTCTCCAACTCAAATTTCTCAATTGCCTTCAAAAACCAGAAAAAAAAAAAGGAGTATTAGTAATTAATGTGAATCCTGGAGGAAGGTGGGGGGAAGGTCAGGGATTAGGTCTTTACTCTTGTTGGTGCACAAAAGGCCTAAACCAAGTTTGTGGCCTTGTTGTCTTTCCCCAAGGTGGCAGAACACAGTGGTCATCTGTGTCACTGACATCAACCCTAGTGTCACCACCAACACATCCCCCACACCCTGTCCCTACCGTTTCATACTGCCCTTCCTGCTGACCAGTACAGGACTTGGGAACAGGTTTCCAATCACAACCCCTGGGGAGTTACAACCTATTGTTTAAACTCTCTGTAAAAGGGAGAAAAATAATACCTACCTTCCAGGGTCTTTATAAGGATCAGAGACAAAGTATCTAATATATTTAAAAACACCAGCACAGAGGTTATCAGATAGAAGCTGCTCAACAAGGGGTAGCTATTAACATTAATTATTATGTCCTTGACCTCTCCAGAGACTCTGCTGTTGATCTCTGACTCCTTTCTCCCCTCTCCAACCCTTCAATCCCTTGAAAAGGAAACAAAGGTGCTTATCAGTGACCAGAAGTTGTATTGATTCTCAACCAAAAGTCTGGTGAAGTGTTTGGATAACAAAAGTTAACAAAGAAGTATTTTGTGTTCTTGCCCTTAAGAGATTTACAATCTATTTAGAGACCCAAATCAATACATTGTGGCACAATTAAGTACTAACCTGCTGCATTTAAGATTCCAACATGTGAGATCAGTGTGAGCTATTGGAGCAGTCCCAGAGGACTGCCTGGAAGAGATGAGTATATAAGTGTTGTGGGTTTGTGATGAGGCTTCAGCTTCCTCAACCTGATAAACTGTGAAATGCCTCCCTAGGCTTCCCCTACCTTTCTCTTGACAGTACTACCCAGTCCACTTGAGTTGAAGGTACTGGACACGTGAACAGGGGTGTATGTATGTATGTGTGTAGGGTCACATTGGTAAATCTATGTACATGTATTAAGATTGTTGCTCCAATTAAGTCAGTGAGATAAGGCATAGTGAATGAATTGGATGGGTGTGTGTCAATGGACAAATATACAAATGTCTTTGACCCATAGAGGTGCCTCTGTAGCAGATGCTGTCTGGCAGGAAAAATGGATAAGATATGCACAGAAAGAGAGGAGAAAGGATTGTTGAATGTTGAAAGAAGAGCAAGTTTTAGGGGAAAGATGATGAGACCAACACAGGGCTGAGTTTGTGTTAGAGATGACAGCAGGACCCATGAGCAGGGCTGATCCCTGGGAAGGCAACTCCGGAGTCTTGGCTAGTGAATCAGCATCATTTGGGAATTATTCAAATATATGGATTCCTGGGCCCTCAAATCAGAGATGCTTATGCCTTAGATCTGCATTGGGTGCTAAATGGCTTATGTATTTATCGTGGCTCCTAAATAATTCTCCAATTTAAAATCCAATAAAAAAATTACATGGTATAAAATCAAATAGTAGAGTTAAAAGTCTCCCTCCCACCCCCTGCCCAATTCCCATCCCCACAGGCAACCAAGCTAGTTTCTTGCACAGCCTTCCATAGATATTCTAACTGTTCTGCATCTTGCTCTTTTTTTCCAGTTACTATCAGAGAGCTCTTCTAGTTTTTAAAAAGTGCCCAGGACAGTGGTACCTCTAGTTACCTTATATAAAACACTTAAACAGTCTCATCAATATTCCATCATTGTTTAACACTCCCAGGATATTTTCTTTTTCTTTTTTGGTCGGGGCTGGGTTTGAACCCACCACCTCCAGCATATGGGGCTGGCGCCCTATCCTTTTGAGCCGCCCACCAGTATATTTTCTTAATGTCTGTTTACTTAAAATTGTATGGAATGACATAAGCAATAAAGTCTGAATTACGGCTCGGCGCCTGTGGCTCAAGCGGCTAAGGCACCAGCCACATACACCTAAGGTGGCGGGTTCGAATCCCCAGCCCGGGCCCGCCAAACAACAATAACGGCTGCAACCAAAAAATGGCCGGGCGTTGTGGTGGGCGCCTGTAGTCCCAGCTACTTGGGAGGCAGAGGCAGGAGACTCGCTTGAGCCCAGAAGTTGAAGGTTGCTGTGAGCTGTGATGCCATGGCACTTTACCCAGGGGGATAGCTTGAGGCTCTGTCTCAAAAATAAAAAAAATAAAGTCTGAATTACACACACACAAAAGTACTCAGGATAGTCTGATGATTAGCTAGGTATAAGTAAGTATACTACTGCTCTAGGTAGCCAGAAATAGGATACTGAAATACAGGTGAGAAATGAGAATTTATGAACGTATTATACATTCCACAAATATTTCTTTTTTTTTTTTTAAGACAGAGCCTCAAGCTGTCACCCTGGGTAGAGTCCTGTGGCATCACAGCTCACAGCAACCTCCAACTCCTGGGCTCAAGCGATTCTCCTGCCTCCACCTCCCAAGTAGCTGGGAC